CCCCCTTATTCTTTTATCTGTCTTTTTTCCCCTCCACCAAAACTTCAAACCCCGTTTTCCCTTTGCTTTCGTTTGTTGTTATTTTTCTCCCAACGATGTAATCTACAGCTATTTTCGGAACACTGTTGTCTCAAAGTCACTCTGCTGTTGGTGGTTGGCGGGTGCTCTTGATGCGGTTTGCTCCTTCTTTCCTATCAAACATCAGTCTATCATCCTTATATCTCCCCTCCTTCTTTTCAGTCTTTTACTCTCTTGCAACACCTCCAATCTTCGGCACTTTTATTATCTTACTGTGTTGCAAATGCCGTAAAACTCTTACTAAAATTAAAAGTCACTCTCAGCTGTCGAACAGCTGCCATCTACTTCTTCAAGATTAGTTCTTGACGATACAAAAGGCACGTAACTTCATAAATCGGCACATTCAAGATCTCTGAAGCCAAGAAAACATACCACATTTATAATGCCCAGGCCTACTTGGCACCGATTCTGCTGAGTTTTCGAGTCGAAAGCGTTCCCTACACAGCACAGTCAAACGGTGCCAATATAAAGCATAGATGTAAGTTCTACTGCCGGTGAGTTTTAACGTTCAAAATACATTAGATATATCAACATTTCCCTGACCGCTTTAAGCATTATGTTGTGCCTCTATTTTGATATCAAGATCTACGTTTTGATTAAGATTGCAGTACATGATTGTATGAGGTGTAAGTGGGGACAAAAACAACTTCCTTAAAACAAACAAATTGCAAACACATTTTTAACAATCCAACAACGGAAAGGTGGTTTCTACTCCTGCAAAATTGAAGGCAAAATTTACGCATGCCAGGGAAAGTACAGAGAGAAAAATGAAAGACACATTGATCTAGAAGAAGAGAGTAAGCCTAAGAAAGCACACACACACACACACACACACACAGAGAGAGAGAGAGAGAGAGAGAGAGAGAGAGAGAGAGACATACAGAGAGAGGGGGTATGAGAAGAGAAATGGAACAAATAACACTCGCACACACATATCTGATCTAGATCTATACGTCGATAGGAGTATCACTAAAGTAACATTCCACAGTAGGCTATCAGAGTAGGAAAAGACAACAAACTCAATGGAGGCACGTGCCACGCCGGCCGGCCGGCCATCAACAACGGAAGGATCATGTTCACCCCGAGAGCCTGGGGCGAGCCGGCTGTACCGCCCTACAGGGACCCGTGAAGAAACTCTGTACATACCAGGTACAAAATTTCAAAGTCCGCGCCGGTTCCAGAGCACGTCCAGGTCTACCTGACAATCACCCCC